GGGCCGGCGCAGGCACCAGTTGCTGGCAGCGAGCTCAGTCGTCGGCTTGCCAGCGGCGCCGGCGCCGCCGGCCGCCCCGTCAGGCTGAGGTCAGCCAGCTTGACCTAGCCCCGTCAGCTCGGCAGGTGAAAGGAGACGGCGAGCAGACGCGGGGGCGTCGAAGGGGGTTCTTGGTGTATGTGCTGCGCAACATGGCTCTGGACTGAGCTGGGGAACAGAACAGCAAGCTGCTTGAGTCAATAAAACACATCATGACATGATATATTAGCTTTAGTCATCGTTTTAAACTATTGCCGCCTGTGAAACGTCAACAAGGTCATCTGAATGTGTCATAAGAGGAATCATAAAAACTCACGCTAGATGAAGAACTATTGAATGCCTGTTTGGAATATAACTATGGTCATAAACAACAAAATGAAAGCTGACACAAAATGAAGGCAAGTAACGAAATAGCAAAACACCTGCAGACTATATAGAATATCCAAGGGCATGCAACATAATGTGGAAACTGCAGCAATTTTATACAAGCAAAAAAGTCACAGAATTTGTAACCATTGTATTCGTTTTAGTTGTTGAAAGCGCCAGCCACCCAAAGCCTGTTGTAATCTTACTGAATAAAAAGAATACGTGGAGTGGGCGTGGCCAACGTGTTGTAAACGTCTGATCTGATCTTGTGTTGCTGGATAACGAATGAGAAGGGCGGAATGTAGTGTTGTCGTCCAAACGTGCTGCAAATATTTTATAATAGGACAGCAGCTCGTCGCCATAACCAAGCAGTGTTTCCGTCACAGGCGGGGTGAAAGCGCGTGTTGCGATAAAGGACGGGAAACAAAAATAAAATGGGCATGCTGGAAAACATCTATTTCTCACCATGACATTAGCAGGCATGCTTAGTACAGCCAAGGTTTTCATGCGTCTTCAGTTAAAACATATTTAGCTCAGCCAAGCATACATACGGAGAAATCCTTCAGATCTTACGATAATACACACCGCTTTCCAGAGATTTTGTTTTCTAAACCAGCGTCGCCAGTTTTTTGTCCTAGACGGCGGTTGTCATTCATCATGCAGTGCAAAGTTGGCCCATGTATAAATGTGATCTACCCACGTCTTTGCGGTTTTCGCTCATACCCGTGTCGGATTCATCTGCTCGTCAATGCCTCCACCGTCGCTGGCCGGGCTGGGGTGATTAAACAAGGATCTAGTTCGGTGCCAAATCTTGAATGCACCGAGCATAACAAACACGGGAGCAAGACTAATGGTTTGTTGCAATGACTATCACTACGGGGGTGATCCTGTTCTGTGGTCATGTACCTGTCCGTCATTTGACGTTTAAGGTTTTTCATCATTTGGTCCCATTGAACCAAATACGTAAAGGTAGAATGACGAACTGCTATATGTCAGCGAAGAACAACGCCTCCTGTTTCCTGAGTAATGCAATTGCGATGGGCCTGGCGACAAACAATGGGCTTCGTCTTATCTGGCCCATTTTCCATGCATTTCAGATTAAGTACCTTATTAGGTTCCTGTAAAATAATGCTTGAGTGAAAATGGTGGTAAAAAAGCAAAAAGCATTGCTGGGAGTCTGACTTAAAACATATCGGGACACAAGGCGACCCGACCGTCCGCTCGAGCAGACTGTTGTTGAATAGTTTGGAAGGCTGGTTTCTCTTGTAAATTACTGCACTTCCGAACTTCACGTATATATCTATATATGTATATATCTATATATGTATATATCTATATCTATATCTATATCTATATATATATATATATATATATATATATATATATATATATATATATATATATATATATCTTGTGCATGCAATAATGAACATCATATATACACGACATAGAAGTATATACACAAATGGGAGGTCCAAACCACTTGGATTATGCACTTCCACCTTAACCAGGTAACATATAGGTTGGTGACCTCATGTGACCTTGCATGTGCGACGGACCCTGGCTGACACAATGTAAAGGAACTTGATGCATTGCACCAAAACTGCTGGAGACAAGAAGAAAGGAGGGAACATAAAGAGAAGAAAGAAGCAAGGAAAGGGAAGAAAGGAAGATATAAAGCATAGTTCAAAAATTACTGTCCTAGGCATTCTGGCACACAGAAGCACAGCTTGCTATGGCAACCTTCACTAATGACGAAATTAAAGATCTGGATTTGTTTATCTTACTGCCAGCACCAGCGTCCACGTATATCGTATGATTGGCTCTGATTGGCTCAAAGTTAAACCGGTCGGTGTATTATACTAGACCAATAAAAAAAACAGGGATGGAGCACAAGATGCTGCCTGTGGACCACATAAACAGTGTTTTCTGCGGAAGCCCTGACACCACCATCCGCCGTAAAATTGCAGATCGACGACAAAATTTTACGGTGCGAGCTTAATGTGCCCCCATGCTCAACACGGTCCGTACTGCCCTCCGACACCTCCTGACCTTAAAGGGAATGTTTCGCATTTGAAATATTGAAACAAGTATCGGATGCAATGCACCAAACTCATCTCAAACTATTGGTATACTTTTTAAGAGAAAAAGACTGTTATAGACAGTATAATACTCTGTAGATCATGTTCCTCAGTGCGTTGTGGTTTAATAACGTCATCGTAACTTGCACAACATTGACTGAGAGCCAATTGAAGGTCGTTCTATCTGGGAGTCGCGCTTACGAAAGCCAGATATGGAATGACAGGATTTTAATGACGTTATCATGACGTCAAGAATGCCAAGGTGACTTTGAAATACTCTCCTCGATATACCTCTCCCCATTTTCGCGGGCGTGTAGCACAGAAACTAGAAGGGCTTATGTCTCAAGAAGGGCAGGGCCGTGAACAGCACCGAAATGTCATCAAGATGACTATTTTAGCTCATATAAATGTGGAACACACCCTTTAAGCATGGCCGCGCGTCGCTCCAGGAGTGGAGAAATCGGAAGCCAAGCGCTCGAACCAAGTGAGCTATATGGACGGACTAGACTTGGTAAAAAAATTCTTAGATGGGTATTGAAGACTGTCTACGTTTTGACAATAGTAATTTACAAGACAGCGTATGTTATGAGCAGAAGGAAACCTCTAGTAGTGCTGCCATGTATCTGAAGCTAAAAACAATACATAGGGCAGCAATTCAATTCAGGAAGGAAACCCATACGATCCCTTTAATGACATAATTTTCCATGAACGCACCTGGCATCGAAAGCGTTTTCTAGGGTGTACAAGTATGATCATTTAACGGCCCTTGGCAATCTTATTGTCCCTCCTGCAACGGGCCGTAGTTATTCCAGAAAATCAGAGGGAAAACGATAAAACACTTCTCATTTAGCCGGCGTTTCGGGTTGAATATTCAGGAACATTTCTTTGAGCGCATTTGTTCTGGAGTTCAGTTTGAGAATAAATAATTATTCAAAGGTTGTCCTCGTAAATCTAGTTATAACTCACGCACCGTTTCTGCCTGGTAAGCCGCAAACACACTTTATCCTATTCATGAGAAAAGGCACTACATGTAAGCAATGCAATGTCCATGTCAGCATGTCTCAACCTTGAACGCTCCCTACCGTCATTACATTCGAGTCTGGAGTCCTACGATCTCCAGTCCAACATCCAAACCTCTTGAACTAATGAGCAGCACTCTTGTCAGTTAGCATCCGACCGAAGGGCCTCAGAGAGGCGGAGCTCCCGCTGACAAACGTCAGGGGACGGCCCGAGCGGGCCCCCACCTCACCCATGGCCCCGCCGGAGCCGTGTCGCTCTGATTGCAACCGCCCGCCCGCTCAAACGGACGGCGCCGCAGCCGATTCGCCTGAAACCCAATCAGCGGGGGACTGTGGCGTCGGCTATCGCTGAGCCAGCGGCGCCATCCCTCATTACGGCCGCGCGGCGGTGCCGACGGCGGCCACCAGCCCGAGGCGGCTCCGCTGGACGCCGTCCGAGTTCGCGACCGTCGGCGACAGCTCGCCGCCCGCGGAGGGCTCCGACGTCCGCCGCCGGACCCGGAGGCGGCACCGCGGTGTCTGGCCGATCCGAGACGGACCGGCGCGGCCTGCGCTTGACCCCGGGCGGCGCGCCGCCGGCCAGGCGCATTGCTGCGACCGGCGGCCCAGGCGCGACCGGACCTAATGTCCGGCGGGATTCGAACTTGGAAACCCGTGCTATTATTGCCGGATCATAATTGATTGTGTGGCTGGGCTGACGTTCGGTCTGCCGGCGTGCAATCGCTGGTGGGGGTCGGGTCCAGCGTGTCAGACGGCAGCTGCTTCAGGCAGCTGCGCGTGCCGACCGCATGACATTTGATGTGAGAGCGAGTATGGCTATGGTCGCTGCTGGCACTCACTGATGGGCACATATTGCTGATATGATCGGTTCCGTAGGTCAGTCTTGTTTTGGTAGCATGTTAAGTGGTCATCATTTGAGTTTTGCCAGCGCCCATCTAATATAGCCCATGTTCTGGTCATCCTTTGGTGCATGTTTCATGTCGTGGCTACTCTGCGAAAAGTCCAGCGGGCTAACCATTTCCTCTGCAATGTTTCACACCCAACCGCTCGCATAGACCTCTGCCTCCGATCCAGCCGCCCCCCCCCCCCCCTCCCCCCCCCCACACGTCCTGAACGCGACCTGCGACCTTTGGCGCACGCAGTCTGACCCCTGACCTCCCGCCGCAGCGCAGCCAGCATGAACGTGGCGATGGACGACTACAACCGGAAGCTGGAAGGCTACGAGATGCGACGGTTGCAGCGAATGGGACCGTCGGGCGCCAGCCTCACGCACACAGGCTCGGCGCGCGAGCTGCAACACATGGGCTCGTCGCTCTCCAGCAACCAGCCGTCCAACGCCTCGTCGCCGCCGACGCTGCGCATCTCGCCGGCCGGGCTGCCGGCGCTGCACAAGGGCGGCGCGGCGGCATCGGCGGCGGCGCACCGCCACCACCGGCCGCACAGCCGCAGCTCCGCCCCCGACACAACCAACGGCTTCGGCTCGCGGCTGCAGCGCATGGGCTCCTCGACCACCGACTCGCCGTCGCCGCAGCCGCAGACGTTCGTGTCGTCGATGACGGTGCCGATGGGGGCGTACCGGCCGGCGCCGGCGCCGGCGCACGGCGGCAGCGCCGTCCAGCTGGCCGGCCTGCCGCCGGGGCCGGCCGTGCACCGCGCCGGCTCCCACGGCCGGCTGGAGGGCGCGCCGGCGCCGGCTGCGCCGCACCGCGGCTCGCGCGGCTCGCGCGGCGGCTCGCAGTCCGTGCTCACGCGCATGGAGTCGGGCGAGTCGGAACCGCCGGCCACCTCGCGCTCGGCCTCCACCTCGCACCTGCCGCTGCGCAGCACCTCCATATCGTCGCTCAACTCGTCCGAGTCGTACCCGAGCCAGGAGCAGCCGTCGCACTTCTCGCTGAGGTCGCACCACTCGCACCACTCGGTTCGCTCACTGTGAGTAGCCGCTGCGCCGCGCGCCGCACCACCCGTACCACTCGTTTCGCTCGCTGTGAGTAGCCGCTGCGCCCGCCACGTGCACTTGGGGCTCAAAGCGCTGGACGGTTTTGTGGAGTGCTTGAGAAGAAGTAGCCCATCTATCACACTGCGGGGGAGTTCTCGCCTCCGTGGCACTGCCATCAGCCCCCTGCCCCCCCCCCCCCCCCCCCACCGCCCTCTTGGCCGCCGGGCTTGGCTCTCACCCGCTCTCACCGGGCGCTCACCAGAATGGGGCGGCTCTAGCCGTGTGCTGAGCTCGGCTTATAAAAGTCAATACGGTTCCCGCCAACCGACCTCTTCCGGGAATCCTCTAAACAGGTCAATGACGGGTGCAGGCGGCTCTGCCGTAACAGAGTCGGCGATTAATAAGCTCTCGGTTTGGAGGTTGGCGCGGACCATCGTACCCACGCCATGTCACGCGCCAAAACGGGGCGTGCTCGGCCGTGCTGTGTCGTAGTCGGTAGGCGGGCGTTAGCATTCGCGTCAGGAGAATGGCGTTGGCATTGGCGGTGGCGTTAACATTGTGTTTTTTTGGTTCTGGAGCCATCTTGAGAAGAGGATGGACAAACCAAGTCATCCACTTAGTGACATGTCTGGGTGTGAGGGCTGGTGCAGGCGTGGGCTGTGTGTTCTCGCCTGACGACACCATGGGGCAGATGTGGCTTTTACAACTATAATATGTCCATGAACGAATTACGTAATGTCACTTTTGGACACTGTGGCAATGCATCAGTGCACCGGCTCGCTGCCCACTGGCGTGTCTGCCAGGCGTACAACGGCACCACTGACCCCAAGACGGGGAAAAACTAAGTTATTCCAATCTAGGCCCGGTGTTCAGTAGATTGGAGTGGAATTGTAAATTGCTCCCTCAGGATTCGATGTTGGATATGTCTCGTCGTCGCCTGTGGCCCTGTGGCAGGTCAAAACGCCGCAGGGCCTAATTGCAATCTTGGGTGGAGAATGTTGGATGACACAACATTTATATTGGGTGCAATTTCCGGGAGTAAAAATGCAGCCAGGCAGCTGTTGTGGACTTAAACAAAAAGTGCAATGCAAAATGAAATGTCACGGCATTGCATCCTGAGATATTACATATATATATTGCATCCGCGTTCGAATTGAAAAATCATATCTTCCGTTGCGAGAATAAGCGAAATCAGACAGTGATCTGTAGGCAATCGATGATTGTGGAACCGCAAACCGCAAATCGCAAATAGTTGACTTCATCTCTGAAGAATCTTTTCTTGCCGCATTTGCAAAAGCATCATCAACATTTAAAACATTGATATATTGCTAGCTATCCTCTGAACCATGGCTAATTATCGCTGGCCTCAGTAAGCTGTGAAGTAGGCGGAAGTAGGCTTATAAAGCCGTGTAAATGTGTCATTAGCGCGCCAACCATGACCAGGAATGCACTAGCTCTGAAACTGTTAAGTGAGTGGAGGCAAGCATCCAAGTCTTTCGTTCATAAAACTACGCCTCAATGTGGACTAAAATGAGACAGCTTATTTACAGACAGTTTGCTTTTGTGTTTGTTTGTTTAATGCTGTGCAGTGGCATCCGAATTTCCAGTTCCTTTTGAAGCGTCCATTTGCGTATTTGGACTCTAAAAACGTACTCATAGCTTTTCTGGTTTCGGAGCAGCGTCGGTTTTTGAGGAGCACCGCACTGCGATCCACGTCTGGCGAGGGCGGCTGGCAGCAACCGACTATGCCGCAGAACGCGTGCGGCGGCCGTCTCTGGTACGCTAACGGAGCCACATACCAGACATGTGTGCCCAAGACGCATAAAAATAGACACCATTGAATCAAAAATTGAGCAAGAAACACGACTATTTAAGGTCTGTGTCACTTCAAGACATGGTTTCGTATGTGTGGTGTTGTGTAAAGCTGAAAAGTGCGATTTTCTGGAAATTTGTCCTTTGACCTGGCATAATGTGGTGATAACATGACATGTTAACCTCATAACATAAAAACGAATGCTAATCGTTAGGTGTCGCTAAAGCAGACCCCATCAGTGTGGCTTGCTAAGTTCTGCTTTTATTAGTTTGGAAACGCCAATGGGTCGTATCCTATGTTCAGTCCACGTTATGAAAAACGGCGAATCCGGACAAGTGTTAAAGAAGCTGATTAGACCATACTCACCTCAAGCATCTCAACATTGTACAGGCGGCTTACTCATCTAATGATGTGTCTATAATTTTCACCGAAGGTCAATGAACGATCACGTTAAACCACATGAGCTAGGAGCTAAGGTGTTCCAATGTCTGCCTATGGAGCACAGAAATTTATATGCATTCTTTATCCATTATATCATTTGTCCATAATGTATAGCCATGCCCATCTCCAGATCACCCTGCACGGACCAGGCTGATTGCCAATTACTGTAGGAAACCTCAGTAGTTTTGAACAATTCGCGACACTGGACAAAAACAGCATGATATCAATCACTACATTTGTCAAAGCACTCAGCCAATACTTCGTGCATTCGATTGGGTTACGCGCCCTCCGTCGTGTCATTTGTAAATTCACCGCCTGCAGCAAATGACTGCGTGTTTCACGAGGATTGCAGCGGAATTATCGCCGATAACACGCGAGGAGAGAGCCCCAGCGTCTGGATAGCAATGCGCAGGCTGGGATGACTGGTAGGTGAGCACGTTCACACTTCTGTTGCATCCATACTTACGGATTTCTCCGCCGTTTTTTGTTTTCTTTAGCTTTACGTCATAAGCGCCGTACCCTGCGCAAATGGTGCCTAAATTTACGGTCGCCTCAGTCTCGAGAGGAAGACATGTATGCATTACAAATGTCAAGGTCATGAATATGATCATTTGCAAATGATCTGCTGCTTCCTTTACAGCTTGAACCTAATTGTGTGGTATTCTGATTGCGTCGTGGTCTTCTGGTCTTCTGGAAATCATTCTACCATTGTAGTCGGTGACCTTCGATGAAAGTGTTCGGAATGGCGTGCTCGGTGCTCCCTTTAGAAAATGACACAAAAATATACCAAAACTCATGTGCCGCCAAAACCAGTGACTGCGTCACTGCGAAATTGGCCCAGAAGTGCATGATTTGTGTCCATGTAAAAGCACGGGGCTCAGTTTAGGCCATGCAGAATATTAGGAAACTAAGTACACAACAGCAGGTGCACGTCCATGGTCAACGCGGTGCTGAAATTGTGGGGCATGCAGTGCTAAAACGCAAATTGAGAGCATGAAAAACTTCCCAATGTCAGTCTGCATGCCTCACGCTTCCCAACGATGGCAGCATATCACAGACAAGACGCATGCTCAAGCTGCCAAACCGCCGCTCAGGCCGTATACGTATATGAACTCTACGTCTCTGCTCACTGGAGCCAGCACTGCGGTGGTCAGCTTTGTCAAATTCATCAGGCGGAGCAAGAGGCAACTGCGCTTGATATTTAAAGGGAGTCTCCCACCTTTCAGGCATATTTCGAAAACATTTTCAAGTGAAACTTCGGGAAAAGTTGCGTCTAAAGATAGCACTGGGTATTACAACCGTAGCACCATAGCGTGACGTGCCACACACCGTCAAGACATGATGAGGATATCAGTATTCATTATTTTCGAGTCCAAATGCGCTGTCCACGCTTTGTAACAGCACTACCTAACGCTATTATGCTTCCTCCCTGCAGTCACGACCACCGTCTTCTCGTATTTGTATTTCTATTTGACATCGGCTGACACTCCACATACATGCGTGGCTATTATGTGTCATTAGTCTGAGAGATATTCCAGCATGTCAAAACCAACTGAATGTGCTAAGGGATAAAAAACACACAAACGCATGCACGCAGAAACAGCCCTATCGCACAAAAAAGCCTGGCAGCGCGCTTAAGGCTTGCTGAATGTTATAATGATCGTTCCCACCTCTACTGGTGGGAATAAAAGAACGTTTGTGATCACCCCAGCGGCAAGGGCCTGTTACCGAGAAGCTGGTTGTCTGAAGTTTGATCCAGTGCGTAACATGGATCATGTGATGCTCCCATCACCAAAGCTAACACACGCCGCGAAAAGATCAACTATGGTGAACACCACAGGGAGGGAATCAAAGCCGTAGAACAAAGTTTCGTTGAATTCTTGAGATCATAGCTTTATGCTCGCATATATTTTTGTCCAACAAAGTGTTTCAAGCTTTTGTAACATTTATTACGCACATACTTTGACACATCAGTGTGATGCAAACATTACAGAACACACAGGTTGGAAAAGGCAAAGTAAATAAGATACATTACTCTCATACTGTTGAGCAGGGAACCAAATAAAATTTCTCTCGCAGGGTCGGCTACTTCAAACCGAAATTCCAAGCTATTCAGAAAGGTTTCGACAAAGCTGGCATTACGTACCAAATCGTATGCGTCTGATGTAACAATACGTCAAAAGTACAAGAAAGGTGGGACGCTACCTTTACGCGTTATAGATGAAGTGAATCCCTCCAACTAACAAAGAAAGTAAAATTACGCTATTCTCGCAATAGTAGGCGTGGGAGTCATGCGTCACTAATATCGTGACTGACTGACGTCATATCTTCGTGCACGGAAGAGGCCTCTCTAAGGCTTATGAAGGTGTGTAATGTATTCGCATTTGTAATTATCTCATTAATCTAAAGGGGGACAAAGAGAATAGCGTCAATAGAATGACCAGAAGGCAAATATTCAGGAAAAATAAACAGGACCTGGAGAAGTATGACGCAGCCTTTGGCTCGTTTTGCCAGGAACGGTGTCGTGCCCTACAGTGAGCACCTTTGAAGAGTAGGAAGGGATAACCTGACCGAACTGTGTCCAGCCCAAAGCAATGAACACGGGCAGGGGTAGCGAACTATGGGTTATTAATGCGTCTTGTTGTGGGTTATTAACGCGCCTAATATTGTAGTGTGATATCTTTTTGTCCATCAGCTACTTCCGATTCGGCTTTGTTGGTCATTTTCTTTTCCTTTTAG